TAGAAAAAGAGAAAAGACAAACAAACAGATGGTAAAACTAACGTTATGAGACCTGATTTGAATTACAATGATTGTCCGAGAAAAGGAATGTAGACTAAGGCCATTTCTTATATATTTTTTTGTACACGTGCGGACCTTGCAATAACTAGAATACCATTAACAGCCACGGGAAGCATATGTAAAGCTAAAGAAAAGATAATAGTTGATAACTGGATAAAGACGTCGTGTAGAAGAACCAAAACAAAGAAAAACAAACAAACGGACAAGCAAAACGAAACCAACGAAAAGAAAAAAAATCGGCAAAGAATGGAGTGGGGAAGGGAGGAATGGATGGGGGGGGGGGGGCGGAGAGGTTTTGCATAGGCCTAGTCTTTCGGGCTCTTGGGGGCGGGCACGTCTTTCCTCTGTTGTTCTTCCTATATTTGTTCTGTTTATATTATTATCACTATCATTATTATTGTTATCATTATTACCATTACTATCAATATCTGTATCATTGTTGTTACTATTACTATTATCATTAACACAATGATCATTGTTACTGTCACTATTCTTACACGCTTGTTGTTCTTTGACTTATTATCGTTATCTTTATTTCTACTCTTTGGTATCATAATCATCATTAATCATGACTAATATAATCATTCGTGTCATAATTCCGTTTGTGTTTCGTCCGTCTGTCACGATAATATTCAAATGAGTTCAGAGAGAGGTCCGCTCTGGTCTTGCATATATGTGGAAGCGAATTTGCAATCTGCAGATCAAAAGAACGCATAAGTGCTACATATCGCTAGCCGTATTTTCAAACGTTTTTTCCACGCTCAAACTCCATATGAATAGTATATGTTTTATTTGAATTGTGTTACTACCATATATGAAAACTGGGTAACGAAGTAATGAATGTTTTTTTTTTTTTTTTTACGAAGAATAAATAAGTTTATATTCACGACTATATTCTTTCATTCTGTTTTTTTTTTACTCACTCAAACTTCATCCGTAGATTATGAAATTAATATTTACGTCCACTGACTCGACACTTTATAACTACAACATGATTTATTGAACAAGTTCACAAAAAAAATATACATATATTTTTCCATAATGGTCCATGAATATAGTTTGTTGGGCTGTTTTATGCCATAAAGATATATGCCCGAGATGCTTCGACAGTAATATTTAAAGTCTACAGGGAGAGCAAAATAAGCTTACCCACCTTTCTTATTAAAAGTCATCCTGTGCCTCGAAAATACTGCGCCTGATTTGCATAATAAAGGCCCTTTCTCCGAGTGTTAGTTTGTTCAAAGCCTGATGTTGTTGTCTTCACATACATCGATCACAAAGATTACCACAAGGGATTTATTATTTATGAATGCAAGAAAAAAAAGTATTAATTCAGTGGAGAAAAGAATATGACTTTTTACATTTCTATCCTCATTTCTTGACTTCAAAGGAGATTCCAATCGGAAGTGATGATTGTGGGATAACAGAGGGACATTGCTCTTGTGAGTTTCCTTGTTATGAGTTGGAATGACTAGCAGATACCATCCCTCTGTTCTGGCACCCTAACATAACCATGGGTGTCTGATATTGAGAGTTAAAAGGATAATGAATAAGAAATATAGAGATTTATTGAGATAGATTTACATGGAGGATCTCTAGACTAACAACTTTGACTACGCTTTACGAAGAAATTTAATCATATCCTTGTGGCGTGGAAATAAGTACCACAGACTAGCTGAATATTGAAGTTTCCGAGGCATAACATTTACTTTCTTCGATACAAGGTTTACATGCATTATAATTACATAGTGTAAATGAAATATTCACATTTCAACTTCAATTTACTTCATAAGGACGTCTTTGCGCCTAGATAAAAAATATTAATTAGCGATACCTGGCAGTTCTTTGGATCTGCATTTTGTAAAATCGAGAGCCAGTTGTATTTTTTTTTTTTTCGAAAATACTGCGCCTGATTTGCATAATAAAGGCCCTTTCTCCGAGTGTTAGTTTGTTCAAAGCCTGATGTTGTTGTCTTCACATACATCGATCACAAAGATTACCACAAGGGATTTATTATTTATGAATGCAAGAAAAAAAAGTATTAATTCAGTGGAGAAAAGAATATGACTTTTTACATTTCTATCCTCATTTCTTGACTTCAAAGGAGATTCCAATCGGAAGTGATGATTGTGGGATAACAGAGGGACATTGCTCTTGTGAGTTTCCTTGTTATGAATTGGAATGACTAGCAGATACCATCCCTCTGTTCTGGCACCCTAACATAACCATGGGTGTCTGATATTGAGAGTTAAAAGGATAATGAATAAGAAATATAGAGATTTATTGAGATAGATTTACATGGAGGATCTCTAGACTAACAACTTTGACTACGCTTTACGAAGAAATTTAATCATATCCTTGTGGCGTGGAAATAAGTACCACAGACTAGCTGAATATTGAAGTTTCCGAGGCATAACATTTACTTTCTTCGATACAAGGTTTACATGCATTATAATTACATAGTGTAAATGAAATATTCATATTTCAACTTGCATTTACTTCATAAGGACGTCTTTGCGCCTAGATAAAAATATTAAATAGAGATACCCGGCAGCTCTTTGGATCTGCATTTTGTAAAATCGAGAGCCAGTTGTATTTTTTTTTTTCTAAAAGTATAGCCCATGTGATGATGGAGAACTTCGGTTCTTCTTTGTCAATGTAAGTTAGATGCCTTATTCCTGGAATAGTATTTCACGTGATTGCGAATTACAAATATCTACAGTTAAGTATAAAACGGTTATTTAATACCTAGATTCATGATTCTTTCGTCATCAAATTGTAGATTTGATGTTATGAAATCTATGTTTTAGGATCTCATGTAAATTTTTAAGCATTGTCTTTTGGCATTGTATTTATGACACGATATTAAGATGTGTGGTGCAGTGAAGTTGTTGGTGCAAGGCGGGCATTGCGGAAGGAAATTTCTCTCAGTATATGGGGTGAGGTGGGTCAATCCTGTGGCATTGACCCTGTGCCGGGTCAGCACCACCTCCTCCTTTCTTTCTTTCCTGCGGGCCTTGTCTCACGGCTCTGTTGTTGGTTTAACTTTGTTGTGTATTTGTAGGCTGGTTCACTCACTTTGCCACAGGAGATGGGTTTTTGCTTTTATAATAGAAGCAAAACATCTGAGATTTGTACGGACTATGCTAAGATGCTCATTGCCATGGATGCCAGAGTGGCCTGGTACACAAATTAACTTGATTGCTTTGTTGGCACCATGTGGCTAACGAATGATATTACCCAGCAGTTCTCTGTTTGCGGTTTCTGAGGATTTGTGTGATCTTAATGAATCGGAAAAAAATACTATACTATCGTGGGTCGTCGGTTGTGGAAAATCAAAGACTTTATCAATGGCAAAAAGTTTGGCAAGAAAGATCGATGTATGATTCGGCGATCTAAAACTCAGTTGACATTATATTATCGGGAGCATAAGACAAGGCTAATAACTTTCATTTACTTTAGTTCTAAGATTTCGACAGTTCCATTATACTGTGGTTAGGTTAGTGTTCTCCATCATCTGCTCCCACTGATAGGGTCGCCTGGACGAGTAGGTGAGGTCTGGGCTGATTCGGTGTCACCCTCCTTATGGTGCTTTTGCTGGGTTGTTAATTGTTTTATTTCATTATTTAATCTGATTCATCAAATCCTTTACCATTTTCTTTTAATTCAGCAATTCCCTTATCCTTTGCTGCCATCACTTGACTGATACTACCTGCATTGGAGTTATTTACTGCTTCAGCGTAGGAAGTGTCGGGTTTACCTGTGTTTACCTGTGTTTTCGTTAATCTTCCTCGCCCCCCCCCCCCCTTAGTGGAAGCCTGGTTGCGTTCTCCAGCACCAGCTAAGAGATCAGAGTTGTATGTAAAGCCCCTCCTTACCGCCCATCCTGCCTAATGCAAGGGCGGTAATTCAGTGCCCACTTCCCAAGCGAATACGGGAGCTCTCAAGGATACTCGTGCAGGCTCAGGAAAGTCATACTAATATAAGAAGAATCATTGAGAGAGAAAAAGTTGCGCCTAAATGACGCCCCAGACTACCGGGCCTCACAATCCAGGGGTTGAATCCCACAAGGGCTACCCTGAGTGCTGCTGACTACAGCTACTGTAGCCTCATGTCACCTTTAGCAAATGAAAGCACTGAAGGCGCGGCACATAACTTTCCGTAACAAAAAAAAAAAAACAAAAAAAAAAAAATCTGATAAATGAAATTCTTACATTAGGCAACGCAAAAACAACGTCTAGCGAGACGGGAGACCCCGGGGCTCAAGGACTTCCCAGGTGCACAAACGCGAGTTTTTGGCTGCTGCGTTTTTTCAGTTCGGTCTGGACATCGCAAAGTCTACGACACGAGTAGATGATAATGGTTTTGTGTCTGTGAGAATATTCCATGTGACTGCGGAAACAAAGTCACTTCGTTTTGATTTAAAGTGGGATGATAATCATTGACACCATAAATATTAACGAATCACACATAAACGTAAACATAAATACGCATATCACCATCACTATCACCATCATCATCATCATCAACATCACCATTATCATCACCATCATCACCACCATCATCCTGATTACAAATATTTTAATTCTTCATAGAGGGAAGCACACTGCAAGCAGTTAAAACTTTCAGGTTATGGACTATCCGTGGATAGAGGTTAAGAAGGAAGGCACACACACACACACACACACACACACACACACACACACACACACACACACACACACACACACACACACACACACACACATATATATACACACACACACACAAACACACACACACACACACACACACACACACACACACACACACACACACACACACATATATATATATATATATATATATATATATATATATATATACATATATATATACATATACACACATATCACAAGTATTACATGATTTTTCTAAGAATTGTACCATAATTTTCGCAGACGGGAAACCGGTTTAAAGAGGAAATCGCCTCCAACAGAAGAATCTGACAAGACGGAGAGACAAGATAACAGGAGTCAGCAACATGAACGAACGTCGATTCGGTCTCCTGGTCTTCGCTCTCACGCTGCCTCTCGCGCTCCCAGAGGTAAGTGCAAGGCTAGGGAATAGAGAGGTAGATAGGTAGGTAGATAGGTAGGAAGGTAGGTAGATTGGTTGGTTGGTTGGTTGGTAGGTAGGTAAATAGGTAGGTAGGTAGATAGGAGAGAGAGAGAGAGAGAGAGAGAGAGAGAGAGAGAGAGAGAGAGAGAGAGAGAGAGAGAAGAGAGAGAGAGAGAGAGAGAGAGAGAGAGAGAGAGAGAGAGAGAGAGAGAGAGAGAGAGAGAGAGAGAGGAGAGGGAGAGAGAGAGAGAAAGAAAGAGAGATTTAAGTAAAAAAAGAAAGAAACAAAGACAGAAAGAAAGAAAGATATCTTCCAAGAAATGGAAGGCAATTCATTTCATAAAAAGAAAATAACTTGTAAGGACAGTAATCCAGTATTTACGAAATACTCTTGTTCAAAGAGGAAAGAAGGTAGTTGTAATTTTGATCGAAGAGAGATGGAAATCATGTCAATTTGATGAAGAAAGATAGACAGAAAGAGCAGGTAGCGAGGTTATCTTCGTCACAGAGAAGCAATATTGTTAACTTGACCAAAGTAGACACCCACATTAGCACAGTAATTAATTTGATAAGATTATATAGTTGTTTAGGTAGTCATCTTTAACTGTCTCTAGGCCAGAACATTTGTCAATTTCAAGTTTAGTTTTATTAGCTCAAGACCCTCCGCATCTACATGCATTGACCCCGCGCCCACTTCAAAAGGCGCCAATTCTGACTTACTAAAACTTCCTGCGGCAATTAAGTAATTCCTTCGTATGTATAAGTGTCAAAAAGTGGTAATATTTCAGTAACTGACTACTATACCAAAGCAGACATCAATATGATGTTCAATTTTATTTCGGAAACTTCATTAAAAGAGACAGTTAGTAACATTTAATTATTTTACCATGATGCCAATGTAGATGCGAGGTTAATGCCCCGTTTTGCTTCGCAGGATGTCTCTGACGTGCGTGAGAAGAGGCAGGCCCCCGTGGGCGTGCTCAATCCGCCCATTCCCACGTCCGTCGGCCACTACTTAGGTGAGATGCATTCGTTATGGAATGTATGGGTGTTTTATATTATTTTGGGGGGCATATTTTGTCAGTTACGTTTTCGCCCTGAACTGAAATTTTATAAGACTGATAACCACGAGAAACTAAACCGAACGCAGGCGGGGACAAGCCCGTGGACAACTGCCCGCGCGACGAGGTGACGCTGCCCGACGGACGCTGCTACTCCCTCCTGACGCAGGGCCCGTGCGCCATCACCGAGTACGTCCTTCTCGACCCCGCCACCAACCGGGGTTACTGTGCCCCCCGCCTCTGCGCCCCCGACAGGATCTTCATCTTCAGCGACCAGCTGTGCCACGACCCGAGGAGCACCTCTCTATGCCCGCGTGAGTGACGCGTCGCCTGCGCGTCGTCTGCCTGCCTGTCCATAAATAAAGCGACGAAGGGGAGGGCAAAGAAACACGCGAATGGGGTGAAGGCTTTTGCTTTGTTGCTGCTTCAGGGCACTTAGTGAAGAGGCCTTCCATCTATTCGTGGGCTTTTCTTGTTCTTCCCTTCGTCTGTCTCTTGTCTTTTCGCTCTTTTGCCTCTTCCCATCCTCTCTATGACTTTTATTGTTTCTGTCTCTGTCTCTCTCATTCTCTCTCTCTCTTTCTATCTATCTATCTATCTATCCATCTATCTATCTAACTCTTTCTACCTACCTCTTCTTCTCTGTCTCTCTGTCTTCCTTTCTCGTATATAGTTATGTTTAATAACTGAATGATTTCACATGTCCATTACAAACTCTCTCTCTCTCTCTCTCTCTCTCTCTCTCTCTCTCTCTCTCTCTCTCTCTCTCTCTCTCTCTCTCTCTCTCTCTCTCTTTCCCGCCATCCCTTTATCAACATTTCCATCTCCCTCCTTCAGCGGGTCGCCAGTTGTACCAGACGAGCTTCGGGACGCCCGTGTGCCAGTGTCCCGACGGCACCTACGAGGGCGACGATGACCTCGACGACGATGTGTGCGAGCCGCTGCTGGGACAGACGCTCCTGTGCCAGCCGGGACAGGTCAGCTGTCAGCTGGATGGGAAAGGGAAGGGGGAATCGTGGTGGGGGAAAGGGGGCACCGTTGATGGGGGAAGGGGGCACCGCTGATGGGGAGGGAAGGGGCTTTCCTTTATGGGAAGAAGAGGTGCTTCTGATGGGAGGAAAGGGTATTTTGGAGGGAATGGACTTTCGCGATGGGGAAAGTTTTCTTTGAACGGGGAAGAGGGCTGATGGAAAGGGCATCGGGATTCGGGAATTGGCATGCCTGATAGGAGGGAGGGTATTCCTTTGCGGGATTGGTTAGAACCATTCAGCATGCACAATGGTATGTTTCTGTATTTGTAAACAAGGCGCTGGGAAAAAAACAAAACAAAACAAAAAAAAAACATATAATGATAATGAGCTCATATTTGAAATATTTTGTTAAACACAGGTGCAATTCAGCAGCATTGGAGATGGAATATGGCGTTCCTCAAGGTTCAATACTAAGTCCATTCCTCTTCCTTTATACATGACATTGCAAATTGCATTAACTTACATAATATACATTATATATAGTTATTTATCAATTTTGAAACTTTTTTTATTTTTTTTTTTTATTCCTCAGGCAGGTAAAATCCCCAAGGGAAAAGGGGAGGGACAAGGGGAAGTTCGTAAGGGGGGAGGGGGTGCTTTCAGGTACAGCGGGAGAGGGTAAAAGGGTCCAGCTGTTCTTTCAAGTGTCAAGGACTTCAAGGGGGGCTTTTCTCCCCTTTCGAACATCCCTTGTTGCTGGCCACAGAGAGAGTGTCATTTCACTTGTGGTGAACCTTCATATTTGTATATATATATATATATATATATATATATATATATATATATATATATATATATATATACATATATATATATATGTGTGTGTGTGTATATATATATACATATATATATATATATATATTTTTTTTTCTTTATAATATATACATATATATGTTTCACACACACACACACACACACACACACACACACACACACACACACACATACACATACACACACACACACACACACACACACACATACACATACACACACACACACACACACACACATATATATATATTTATAATATCTATATCATAATTAGGTTCATCAAGTACTTGATTACCTTTTGGAAAAGCGATTATCATGCAGATTCAGTCAATTCTATTTCATAGTGAACAGACTTTCTCTTCGAACTCTTTAAACTTTCAAATCAAAGCGATAAGGGCCACCACTGTTACCTCTGTCATTATTTCCCTCCTCCTCTCATTCTGCTTTTCTTTACTCACCCTCACTTTTTCTTTCTCTTCCTCTTTCTCACCATCATCACTACTGTCACCGTCCTTCTTCTCCCTCTCTTCCTCTTCCTGTTATTCTCCTTTCTCTTCCTCTTCTTTATCCTTCCCATGTTCTTTTCCCTCCTAATCATCGCTACCATCTTCCTCCTGTTTCTTCTTCTCTTTGTCAATTTCTTTGTCTTATTTTTCTTTTTTTCCCTTTTCCCACTTGTTCACCCTCATCTTTCTCCTTCCCCTCTTCCTCCTATCCCTCTTCTACCCTTCCTTCCTCCTCCTCCTCTTTCTCCTTCTCCGCCTCCTATTCACCTTACTCCTCCTATTCTTCCTCTTGCCTTCCTTCACACTCCTCCTCCTCCACCTCCTCCTCTTCCTTCCTCTCCTCTTCTTTATTTTGTTCTTCCTCCTCCCCATTTCTTCACCGTCCTTCTCCACTTCTTTCTTGTCCTCTTCTTACTTTTGTCATTCACCTTGTTCTCCCTCCCCTTCTTCCTCTTCCTCCTTTTCCTGGCTCCCCTTTTCCTAGCCCCCCCCCTTTTTACTTTTTACTTCTTTACTTACTCCTTCTTCCTTTTGGTCTCCCTCCTCTTTTTACAGCTCCTCCTCTTCTTCATCCTCTTGTTCTCCCTCATCTTCTTCCTCTTATTCCTCCTGTTCCTCATCCTTCTCCTCAGCTTCCTAGTCCTCCTTTTACTTCTCCTTCACTCCTTCTTCATATTGTAGTTCTTCCTCTTCCTTCTTCATCCTTCTCCTCCTCCTATTACGTCTCCTTCTTCATCTTGTTGTTCTTTCTCCTCCTTCTTCCTTTCTTCCTCTTACTTCTCTCCTTCATCTTGTTCTCCTTCCCTCTCCTCCTCCCCCTCCTCCTCTTCCTTCTTCTCTTCCCCCTCCTCCCCTCCCCCTCTTCCCTCTTCTCCTCCCACTCCTCCTCCTCCTCCTCCCCCTCTTCCTCAGCCTCCTCCTCTTCCCTCTTCTCATCCCTCTGCTCCTCCTCCTCCTCCCCCTCCCCCTCTTCCCTCTCCTCCTCCCCCCCTCCCCCTCCTCCTCACGCTCCTCCCCTTCCTCCTCTTCCCTCTTCTCCTCCTCCCCTTCCCTCTTCTCCTCCTCCCCCTCCTCCTCCTCCTCCTCCCCTTCCTCCTCTTCCCTCTTCTCCTCCCTCTTCTCCTCCTCCCCTTCCCTCTTCTCCTCCCCCTCCTCCTCCTCCTCCTCACCTCCCCTTCCTCCCTCAGGTGTTCTGGTTCCGCGACTTCAGGCAGCCCCCCGAGTGCCTCCCCGACCCGTGCGGCGGCGACAACCTCAACCGCGGACCCAACGACCTGCCCTTCGTCCCCGCCGCCGACGGGAAGTGCTACCAGCTGGGTTCGGTGAGTGGGGGGGGGGGAGGGCTTAGAGTCCTTCTTGAGAGGGTTATTCCTGCTGGTGAATTAGGCTGGCTTGAGAGAGTTATTCGGTAGAAGGGTTATGCTTGAAAGGTGACTGTTGCTCCCAGCTGGGTGAGGTGAGGTATGAATATTTCGTTATGCAACTTTTTAGAATCAATATGGCAATAGATTTCCTCAGCTCATGTTCATAATATATCAAGAGTAGGTCTTCGTATCAATGTCGAAACTTTTCTCCCATCAGTATGAGTCTGAACTCTATTAGCACGGGGCAGAACTGTTCATTAATGTCCTTTCCCTCAACAGAACCCCTCCGTGTGCCCAGCCCAGACTTGGTATTCGATTGCCCTCGAGAAACTGCAGGGTGTGTGCGCCACCTTGCAAGACGCGGGCTACGAGGTCTTCGACGCCGCGACGCTGGCTGCTCTGACTGAGTTGTACGGCCCCTTCATTCCCAGGGACACCACGGCGCCCATCCCGGTGGCCCAAGGTGCTCCGGGCACTCAAGGTACTCAAGGTGCCCCAGGTGCCCTCCGTTCCCCAGGTGTCTCAGGTGTTCCAGGTGCCCCTGGCACCCAGGGTGCTCTAGGTACTCAAGGCATCCAGAGTGCCCCAGGTGCCCAGGGCGTGCAAGGTGCACCAAGCCTGTCAGCTGGCGCCCCGCGACCTACCCCGTTGGGTGGGCAAGCTCAGTTTCCTAGTCAGAGCCTGAATGTCATCAACGGCAACGGCGCTCTGGGAGGGCGCCAGCCGGGAAGCGCCCCGACTGGCCAAGGGCGTCTGGACTTCCAAAGCGGCAGCCAGGCAGGCGCTGGATCCCCGTCTCCCGCCGGCCAAAGGATCGCAGCTGGAGGGCAGCTGTCGACGGCAGGGCCTGGCAGCT